TACTTTAGAGACCAGACAAGTATGGGTCAAGTTGACCCAAATCAAATCGCTATGGGTCTGTATAACCCAGGTCAAAATCCCTTTTGGGCTTTCTGATTTCAAAATTCAAATTGAGCCCTAATCCAAAATCCCAATTTAACGGGCTAAGGGAAAAACCAGAAACCTTTAAGATGAAAACCAAAACCCAAAAGAAAAGGGAAATGAACTAATTAGTTTTAATTAATAAACCCAAAACAAAACAAATTATGTTTGGTTATTAATCTAATTATGCAACGAACAAAATTGAAAATGAACACATAACACAGAAAAAGAAAAGAGGAGACAGAAAAGATATGAAAATAAAGAAGAAAAATGCAAGAAAAAAAACAACAAAAAAATGAAAATACCTAAAACCGGACTGGCCAAATCTTGAAGTTTAACCTCGAGCCTTCGATTTTGACCGAAATGGGTCTTAATCATGTGTTCTCAAACGAAAACACATGAGCAAGGTCAATTTCGGCCTCAATCCTCACTAAGCTTGCCGATCTTAGGACTTTGGGATTTTAGTTTTCAGATTTTTGATTCAAGATTCGACGAGTTTCAAAGGGATTTGAGGGAAAAGAGTTAGGGATTGAGGAAGAGGGAGCCATGGGGTTTCCCTGGTGTTATTTTGTGGCTCATTGGAGGCGGCGCCGCCACGGAGGAAGCTAGGGCGGCGCTAGGGTTGATGTTTGGTTCAGTTTCTGGAGAGGGTGAGATGAGAGTGGGGAAGACGAGTTAGGGGAGTTTGACCCTAATTTTGACCATTATATGGTAAATGACAGAGCAGTTCCGAGCCGTTGGATGATAGAAATCCAATAGCTGTGATCAAACAGGCATGAAACGGGGTCGTTTTGGGGTTACAACGTGACTGGACCGGGTAAGGGATGGGTTTTGGGCTTGTTTCAAACGGGTTTTGGATAAATTGAGGGGTGGAATTGATTTGGGCTAGAAGGATTTTAAAATTTGGCCAAAAATCCGAATCTTCTCAATTCTTCTTCCTTTTCTTTTCTTTTTATTTTCAAATTCTTTTTAATTCCTTTTTCCAAATAAAAATAAAAACCTAAATTAAATCTCAAAACTAGATTATCCTACCAAATTAAATTAATTAACTTTAAATAATAATTACCACAACTAATTAAATGCTAAATTAAAAGAAAACTACCAAAATTTAAAACTAAAATTAAAGATGCAAAAATAAGTTATTTTTTTGTGATTTCTCCACTTTTGTAAAACACTAATTTACTAATTAAAAAATTCAAAATTCAAATCCTAAATGCAGATGCAATATATTTTTTGTATTTTTATGAATTAAATAAAATTAAACATGCGCAGACAAATGCAAACAATTAACAAAAATCATATGAAAAACCTACAGAATTGCAAATAATGGAAAGATTTATTTATCTTGAATTTATGGGAGTAATTCATATATGGCAAAAATCACGTGCTCACAGCTGCTCTTCTTTGCTCGGAAACACGAAGAGTTTTCGTGCAAAGATAAGTGAGCGGATACGAGCGATTTTTGCCCGTTTGAATACTCCGTGGGAGGCATTTTTAAAGATTTGACCGCACCCTGCTTCCGAGATTGACTACATATCCTTGGCTATAAAGGAATTAGGTCAGTGTAGTTCGGGAAGTTTCGGTAGTTGGGACTACCATGAAGCTGTGATTTCACTGTTGCTGCTGCTACTGCTGACTGAACTCCTTATTACACCAAGAAAAAAATAAAAGAAACTAGACTAAACTATGATCTATGCATTACAAGAATCCTATCTACATCTTCAAACTTGATCTTGCGATCCCTGTTGCTCTGTTGACTCGTACTCTCCAGGTGAAACTCCTTTGTTGCCGACTTGAATTGTAATCTGAAATGCTTTCTCTTTTCTCCAGGTGGGCGTCTGATTGCTGAACCTGAACCATCTTCCTTTGACCACTGTTTCCTTCCCTTTATTCTCCAGGTGGGCTCCTGATTGCTGAACTTGAATTATCTTCCTTTCCTCCGAAACTTGCCTTATTCTCCCTTTGTTCTCCAGGTGAGCTCCTGATTGCCGAACTTCTTTTGAATATTGTTGCTTCCCTTTGTTCTCTAGGTAGGCTCCTGATTGTTGTCTTCCTTTGAACCTCGCTGCTTCCCTTCGTTCTCCAGGTGGGCTCCTGATTGCTGTCTTCCTTTGAACATTGTTGCTTCCCTTCGTTCTTCAGGTGGGCTCCTGATTGCTGTCTTCTTTTGAACGTTGCTGTTTTTCCTCGAAACTTGAGATGTTTCCCTTTGTTCTTCAGGTGGGCTCTTGATTGCTGAACTCCTTTGAACCTTGCTGCTTTCCCTTTGTTCTTCAGGTGGGCTCTTGATTGCTGAACTCCTTTGAACCTTGCTGCTTTCCCTTTGTTCTTCAGGTGGGCTTCTGATTGCTGTCTTCCTTTGAACACTGCTGCTTCCCTTTATTCTTCAGGTGGGCTCCTGATTGCTGCTTCCCTTTGAACCTCGCTGCTTCCCTTTGTTCTCCAGGTGGGCTCCTGATTGCTGAACTTGAATTACTTCCTCTTGTGACTGCTTTTCCTTTGAATTATCTTTCCTTGTTTCCCAAATGGGTGCCTGGTTGCTTGACCCTGAACTGCTTTCTATCCTTAAAACTCGTGTTGTTCTCCCTTGCTCTCCAGGTGGGTGCCTGATTTCAACAAAATAGACAAAACAAAGAGAGTTTTCTGCCCCAGTTTGGTAGCTGGGCGAATCCGTAAGTGTTAATTGAATCATGTTACCAAATATCCCTAAGAATTTGAAAGCTAAATCCCATTATCCAGGAGGGTCCTGAAAACTCCTAGTTAAATGACAGATTCAAAGCTAAATTATCTCTTCTAAAGGTATGACTTCCGCTAAGCCTTGTTATCTAAGAAAGTTTTAAAACTACATCCCATTATCTAAGAGGGTCCTGAAAATTAAAATCAAGTCTTATCTTAAGAGTGACAACTTTAAGGCTAAATTATATTTCCCTACAGCAGAACTTACGCTAAGTCTTGTTATCTAATGGAAGTCTTAAAGCTAGATCCCATTATTCAGGAGGGTCCTGAAATTCGAATTGAATCCTATCCTAAGAACGAAAACTTCAAAGCCAACTTATATTTCTTTGGGGTAAGACCTATGCTAGATCTTGCGACTCATGAATGTTTTGAATTTTAAAACTAGGTCCCATTATCCAGGAGGGTCCTGAGAATTTACGGCCAAACCTGTCTGGTACTTGCTTTTTCCTTACGGAGGGTTTCTCCGAAACAAACAAAATTTTTTGCCCCTCCTTCAAATCAAAGAAAAATCTTGTCAGTTTAAAAATATGGTGGTTAGTTTGTGGCATTCTTGCTGAAGGTGGCCTCTCCGCTGCCATACTTTGCTTTGACTGGTTGCCTTGAACTGGCCCAGAATTGTTTGACTTTCTGACTGATCCTCAATTGCAGGACCCTGGATGACCCGAGTGCTCTATACCCAAACCGTTGTTTTACATTTCTGACCCTTCTATCGGAACCTCTGCATCTCCCACGAAATTACTAAGCCATTCTCCCGATGGAACTTTCACTAACACTTTATGTCCCACTTTTCATCATACTTTCTTTGGCATGTTCTGACTGCTCTGTGCTTTGTGCAATTTTGGAAGTTGGTAGTGAGCTTTGAAATCCTTTCCTATTTGCTTAAACAAAACTGGCATTGGAAATATCTTAGAGAAATAAACCCAAAAGAAATGAAATGCAATGACTTTGAGAGTTAGGAATAAGGAAGAAAAATCCAAAACTGGATGACTGTTTGAAGGGGAAAAAGAAAAGAGACTTATCTGAGTGGAGCAGCCGGTACCAATGATCATGACATGCATTTCAGATTAATCAGCACAGTCTATCCAGCCAATCAACTTTCAGTTGTCATACTTGTGCCCCAAGATCTTCATAACCCAATTTCTCTGACCAATCACTAACCTTGTTCGGCCTGCGGTCCCTTGAAGGGTTTTCACCGATAAACCTCTCTCATTTGTTCATCTCTCAACTAACTTTCGCCTTACGGTGCTCGTGAGGGTTTTCACCAATAAGACTATCTCATTTTTTCATTTTTCTTGCTTAGACCGGAGTGTTGCCCCTGATATGAATCATCTTTACTTGCTCGACTCGGAATCTCTCGAAGGCTGATCGGAAGGTCTTTCTTTGGACCGTAATGTGGGCTTTTGGATGGGGTTAGAAGGAAAGGATATCAAAAGGCTCAAAACAACTCAACTGGGTTCAAAAATTACAACTTTTGGAATAAGATTTCTTACAACAACCACAACTTCTGCCCCAATTTCTTTGTTTGGGGACTTTTTGAATTTTATTTTGATGGGACCGAACCGTGAGGCTGCCTACGTATCCTTAAAAGGAATCAGGTCGAACGTAGTTCATGTCATATGTATTACTTTGTTGTTGTGATTTTTCTCTTTCTTGTCTCTGTTTCTTTTCTTTTCTTCTTCTTTTTCTCTTTCTTTTTTTTTTTTTCTCTTTTTCATTCTTTTCTTTCTCTTTTTCTCTTATCTTTTCTCTCTTTTCACTACAGGAAAATAGGTCTTTAACGATGGGAAATTCGGTTGTTAAAACTTTAAATCCGGTCGTTATCAATCAATTACGATGGGGTAAAAACTGGTCATCGCCGGTCGTTAGTGCCTCCGTCGTTAAAGGTAAACGACGGGATTTTGATCCCATCGTAAAAACTCTTTTAACAATGGAAAGGAATTTAGTCGTTATACCAACATTAGCGAGGGGATTTTCCCATCATTAAATGTCGTTCCAGTCGTTAAACACTTCACTAGCAGTAACTAATTTTCAGTCGTTGTTAGTGTTTGGCGACCGGAATTCCATTCGTTAATCGTATGTACTTTCAACGACATAAAACCCAAAATTTTCCTTAGCTAATGTGAAATTTAAATTAATAAATATATTACACGCATTCAAAATCATACAAAGAATGAATTTCAATATCGACATAAAACATCTTTTTTAATTATAAAGAACTAAAACATCAAATAATATATTACATCCAAATTGCATGATCCTTTTGTTTCAATTCCTTAAAGAAAACAGAAAACTAAAGAGAAAGCGAAATAGTAGTTTGTACAGATGACGACTACAACTCCTAATAAAACAAAATACAATTCCACATGCTTCAACTTGCTCGAAACTCTCTTGAAGGATGATTCTTCAAACTTCAGGCCCTTTATCTGTTAAAAAAGCTTCATATTAGTTGAGTAAGAAAACAAGATTTAAGATTGGTAAGTCGCTGCCACACAATAAAATGTAAAACCACGAAGCGAAGAACATTTCAAAATACTATGAATAATTAGTGCTTCTTACAACTAAATCTAACATTAAGAGTATCATGAAACATATTACTGATGCTCGCTCGCCAACAGTATAATAGCCAATACATTGGGAGCAAATGATATCATATAAAAAAGTATTACTATTCCCTCCTAAGAATCATGCAGCAGTAGCAGTGGCAGGACATGTTGAAAAACATGGAAAAGAATCAGCTATTGTAGTTTCATCTTTAGGAGCTACTCTTCCTTTGAATGCATCAAGTGATCGAGCTACTGCTGAGCAAAAATATTGTGGTCAGGAGCAGCCTAACATGCAGGTGTTTCCAGCTGAGCAAGAGAAAGAAACCAGAACAATGATCGACCTACTGCTACACTAGGTGACTTAGCTGGAAAACTACCAGGTTTTAGGGATGAAGCTGGTGCAAAAAGAACCGAAGATGGGAACATCGTGCATGCTAATCCTAAGACTACTGGGATTACATCTATTAATGCAGCTTCTACTCCCAAGTCTGTTGGTTTGAAAAGAGCACGAACACGGGAAATAGCTGTGTCAACTCAGTCAAAGAAGAAACAACTCCAAAAGAAAAAGAAAAAGAAAAGAGTAGAACACTTTCCACCTCACTAGCAGTAAGAAACCATTGTTTGAGTTGCTTAGCACTACTTAACCAAAAAGAAAGAGAGAACAAACTATTGCATCAGTCATGCATTTATAATCTTATATATATCTCCTTAGCAGAGCAAACTAGTGCTCTTTCCAGCCAGATTAATCGTAATACTACTCCATTTTAATATCTCAAACAAATAAGCTGACAACAACAGTAAATACTTGAATATGCTATTCCATACAAAGACATATCAATAATTTACATTAATCACATATATATCAAAGGGAATATATAAATGACAGTAACCATAATACTTTAAAGCCAGAACTAGAAAAGATACAACCTCAAAACTGTCAGGAACATATATTTTTATGGCAGCATTAGAGGAAATCAAAAGCTCATTTATGAAAAAATAATTAAGTACTGTAAACTTAAGGGCTTAACCCAAGTAAACATAGTAAAGGATTAGATGAGAAAAGACAAACTTTTTCTTGTCAACGTCAGGAATGTCACTTCTTTCTAGCTCAGTACTTTATTTAACTAACAAAAAAAGATTTCACTAAATTCATTTAAGGATATTCATCATCTAAAAATTGGTAGAAAGCTTACGCACCTGTCAAATACTTCAACTTGTACTTTGTTGACTTGTAGATGGTGTTGATGAAGGTTGATCAACCAATAAGCTTATAAGATGATCATACTTAGACTCAAAGTCGTCCATGCGTTTTTCCAGAGAGTCTTTTGCTTTTTTAGTTGCATTCAGCTCAGTTTGTAGTGATTCTTTTTCTTTTCGAGTTGCATTTAGCTCAATCAGGATTGTAGCCTTTGAGGAGCTACCGCCTTTCAACTCCTTAGTGGTTATACCACCCCCTAATCCAACCACATGACTCTTATTTTGAGGTCCGAAACATCTTTCTATTACCTCGATATTTGTAAGAGATAGGCTCAAATTGTACCAGCTCTTGTATTTCAGCCTATAAAATACAAGAAAATTTGAAATAACAAAATACATAAAAATAAAATGAAGGATGTAAAATAAAGTTCATCAATAAACATACATATTTTTTACTAGCTTCAGGTTCTACAAACGTGTCGCCTTTCTTGTGAGTCTCAAAGAATATAGTTGCCATGTTCGGTGGATTACCGTCTTTGCCTCCCTTCACATTTAAATAAACAAGTCAAACAAAGACATTAAACACTGCCTGAAGATCCCCCCTTAGTTTGGAGCAAGTTGCATCAGAACCTGCCTCAGTAGTGCTGGACTGCAAGGCTTATTAGTAACAATTTTAATCACCAAGTTAATTGTAATTGCTACTATCCTCAGGTGTTACGGATAAGATGCAACATTTCCTAGACATCAAATCTGGTATATTTATGCCTACTTTGTATATTTTAAAAAAGGTGTTTTGCATATTAAATAAGAGACAGAGGAGATTGATGAACTTATAAAGCTCTAATTTATGCCTCCCTTGTTGCATCTAGTGTAAAAAAGAGATGAAATAGACATAAGGTAAATATAGCCATTAAGGAAAATTCAGGATCATATGGAGCTACATGGATGCAGGCTACTTCAATCCGACTCTACCAAAAGCCAGCAATTATGACATGCATTAATCTATGAAATTACGGAGCACTGAAACTAAAGTAAGCAGCAAGTGATCTACTGCAGCAGAACAATCACTATTGTTCTGTTGCATTTTAGTATCAGTGACTATTATTCTGTAGCAAGTGATTACTATTATACTGCAGTAGAAGAGTCACTATTAATCACCAAGTTATATAGTACCAGTCAAGTCCTTTACTTCCATATTATTCTGTTGCATTTTTTTTAGAATTAGTAATTCTGTAACATTGCTAAACCAAACATGTAAAATCAAAGCCAATAAACAGGGTAGTTTGCAGTTCAAGGTGCAAAATTAAACTGGAAAAAGCACTCTTCAGTGAATATGAATAGGATTGCTGTGCTCTTACCAGTTCGTAAATAATTTCTCTAATCGACTTGCTACCCGTACGATGAGGCATTCTCAACTTAGACCTATTGATCGAGTTTCTAATACTTGTTTCCTACATTAAGAACAAACCACTGAAATCATGAACTGTTACTTACAATAATAAGAAGTTAAAAAGTAGTTATGAAGTCTTACCTTAAAATTTTCACTTAAAAAATGTTCTTTGACCAACCATTCCCAATCACTCTTGTCTATCTCCTTCGGAACATTTTTAGAGCTTCATGCAATGGCTTAAACTTTACATACTTGTGCAATGATCCTCTACAATTGGTCCATAACTTTTTCATATGGTTTAAGACATGATCTCTTTGATGATTCATGTCATCACTGTCAAATTTGTCCTACAATATTTTGCAAAATCATCAATCAAGAAAGGAAAGGACTTGAAAATTATCAAAAGGCAAATTAGTAATGCAACCACTTTGCCATGAATTAATAATATAAACTAAATATGTATTGTAGGTTAAATCTCATGGTACCTCGCCAAAAAACATGAGAACTATTGAGACAAACACTTTTTAATGGTAGGTTGGTGAGTTGTTTTTTAGTTCAGGTCAACACTAAAAATGCAGGACATTTAATATGACATAAAATGCAAGCCAACTCAAAGATTTTTGAGAATGGTAACAATTGTATTAACAAAAATGCACTAAGGCAGTGCATAACCATATCCACAGGGTCAACTCAAAGATTTTGATAGTATCATATGTTCCTATATTTAGTCTTTTAGCATTTACCCTCTACAACTCATAACTCCATTTGGTATGTTACCACTTAGATGATTCTGAGAAAGGTCTAAATCTTGCAAATATTGAAAGTTGCCAAAACTGGGCAGAGATCACTTCAATGTCAAGAAGCTTTGTAAAGCATCAACTATTTCACACTAATAACAATGTAATTGCCAGAGATCACTAACAGAGATTCAAGACAAGTTATAAATGCAAAAAACCAGCTTAAAAACAAAGATTCACAGAAGATGTGCTGCTAAATAAAGAAAGCCACTCAAGACATTGCCTTCATTAATAAATTTTTAACTATGGAAGAGAAGATGTGTTGCTAAATATGGCCAGCTAAACTTCTCTTTCTCAAGAGTGATTTTTAAGATTATATCCCATGAAATTTTTTCCTGAAAAGAGCAATTCAACCAAGAAAGTATTGCTTTAATAATGGTTTAAATACTTACTGTAACAGCTCGCCACATGTGTTCCAGCTTATCTTCTCCGATGTCCTTCCATGAATGTACTTGCAACGGACACATATTACGATCATGAACTAATATACCCAAGTGTCTCGAAAATGAGGCTTGATGCTTTCCTACAACCCGATTGTTGTAAAAGTTAACTCTAAACTTTTCTCCGGATTTGAGTCCTGCTACATCTTTATTCTTGTTCTTTCCTCTCACCTTTTTTGGCTTTTCAGATTCACATAAATCTGCAAATTTTAACATAAAATAAATTCCAGTCTTATAACAAACAAAAAATATATTAAACTTGAGACCTTGCATCATTTCATCTTCTTGAGCGAGGGAAACATCATCTTCCATTGGATCGAAACTAGGAGGCATAAGATTAGTACTATTATGCGCTAGCTTATTCTGCTCAGAAGCTGTTGAGTTGTGATTTTTACTTTCGCCAACCATATTTCTCTTTCCAACGCTTCCTTTTGCCGAGCCCGAAGATCTTAAGTTTTGCCCACATCCCCTTGCTAAAGCACTAGGTTGACTGTAAGTGTCTCGTACATTCTTCAAAATAGCTCCAACTTCTGCAAATTTTGATTTGAGTAAAGCATAAAATAACTTCTAGTCTTATAACAAACACAAAATAAATAATTAAAACTTGAGACCTTGCATCATTTCAGCTTCTTGAGTGAAGGGAATGTCGTCTTTCATCGTATCAAAACCAGGAGGCATGAGATTATTACAACTATGTGCTAGTTTATACTGCTTAGAAGCCCTTGAGTTGTAATTTTTAATCTTGCAAATTAGATTTTTTTTAAAACATTTATTTTTGCAGAGCCCAAAGATCGAAAGCTTTTCCCTCGTCCCCTTGCTAAAGCCGCAGGTTGAATGTATGCATGATGTATATTCTTCAAAGCTGCTCCTGTTTCTGCAAATTTTGATTTACGTGAAACATAAAATCAATACCAGTCCAATAAGAAATAAAACAAAACAAAAAATTATAACTTAAGAGACCTTGTATCGCTTCAGGGTCTTGAGCGAGGGGAGCATCATCTCCATCGAAACAAAACCAGGGGGCACAAGATTATTAATATGTGCAAGCTTATTCTGCTCAAAAGCTGTTGAATTATGATTTTTATTTTCTACAATCAGAGTTCTCTTTCCAATACTTGTTTTTACAGAGCCCAAAGATCCAAAGTTGTGTCCTCTTCCCCTTGCTAAAGCACCAGGTTGAATATATGCATGATGTACACTCTTTGAAGTTGCTCCCATTTCAGACTTCTGAAATTTTGATGGATTCATGTCAACCTAAAATAAGATAAAAGTATGGATTAACTGTTACATGAGAAAGATAAAAATCATTAAGATGAGTAATAAAGTTATTTATCCACACAAAATTTCCCTTGCCAATATTACTGATAAAAGAATTAACTTGTGTTAGAATTAGAAAACACAAACAAAATACAACAAGGCTAAACTTGTAAAACCATATAGAGACCAAGCATATGGCAGCTGCTCCAAGTCCTTCCAGAAACTTATTCACTTGCAATCAGTTCCAATGTAAAACAGAGCCATGATTATATGATTTCCAAAGAGTGCAACCGAGAAGCTGTATAGACAAGTTTGTATTTGCACTCCACAACAGTGAATCAGCTTTAAAGCAGTGTATTCTTTATACTACCTTTTAAACACATCTAAACCAATACAACTACCTGCATACAATTAGATTTATACATTATAGAAAGTTATCTTTACTTCAGTAGTTAGCCACTAGCAGTGGTACTTTCTACAGTTCAATGCGAATAGAGATATCTGGTACAAGTGATTTAGCATACATCACCTTGAGGTATTTATCTGCATTTGATGATTATCATATAACACTCTCTAGGCAGTTGTTAGAAGGCATAATACGGTAGGTGATAACAGCTAAGAAGGCATAATGCGGTAGGTGACTAGTTAAGAAACTAGTATAAATGCTTGCACTACTTGATTTTTGAAGGACCTATGCTCAGCAATTGACCACTAAAGTATTTTCAATTCTTTTTTCCACTTTCCAGCAGCAGTACAACATAAGAGATTAATTCTAGAAGCAGCTTTAACATTGATAATAGTTAATGAGCATACTTGAGAGTATGAAACGATAATGGCAGTTAAAAGAATGATCCTATGAAGTTGACATTCATTCTTAACCACCTAACTCGAAAATAAGCACAATAAAACCAAAGATAAAGCCAAACGAGTTTTGGGAAGCATCCCATGATGGATAGGAGAAAAATGACATCGAACAGGTGGTCCCCGAAGGTCATAGTAAGAAAGGGGTCCAGCTAGAGCATCCTAAAAAGTGTATTATCCAAACAGGCATCCTTCTTTGACTATAAAACTATGATAGATATGTGGAAGTATTACTGATAAAATAAGAACTCATTCTGTAGCAACTGAGATGATGGAGAGAGAAAAGAGAAAAAAGAGTTTTTCAAGCTAAATCAAGGTGAAGGAGGTAATAGCACGTAACGGGCAGTCTATATGCATTTGGCCTGCCACTTGCTAAGAGATGGACAAACAATGTTTCCATGAACTTTTCTGCCGGCTGATTGAGTTCCGCTATTAAACCCGGGTAAAGAACTCTGACCTCGCCCTTGAAGCAGTTAGCTTTCCGGTTTCGAATGAAACATGTAAGGCCAGCTTGCACAATACAACAATCTACTAAAGTTAAAAAATCCGTCTGTACAAAAGCTATCCCATCGAACCTCGGATGGGATACCCAAGTAGAGAATTTGACCATTCAATGTGCACGAACTATTGAAGGTCAAAAACCCTCATCAGTTCTTTTCCTTTTCATTTGTGTAGAATTATCCAAATTCTCCAAATCGTCATCTTTTTCTTGCAAAATGTCAAAAGTATCACGAGGTAGAACTTTTCTTGCAATATGCCAGCCTTTATTTGAAGGATCGTCGACATAAAATACTTGTAATGCTTGGTTTGCTAATACAAATGGCTCATTAGTTTTCAATAATCGCTGACGGTTAACACTCACAAAGCCATATTCATCCATTCTAACTCCCTTTTCTTGGTCATACACATCAAACCACTTACATCTAAACAAGATCACTCTTTTTTCTCCAATAAATTGCAATTCAAGAATCTCAGTAAGTTCTCCATAATAATCAATATTTTTATTCTCTTCATCTGTCTCACCAACTACAACCACCCCGTAGTTTTGAGTCCTCAAACCCCTGTCATACTCTTCCACATGAAACCTATATCCATTAGTAACGTAGCCTTTAAGACGTCTCATATATGGCAGGGGACCACGTGACAAAGTGAGCAAATCTTCCATTTTCTTACTGTTATCACATTTGTACAATTCAACAACCTATCAAAATCAATTATATAATTTAATTAGCAAATACTATATAAATATTATGGTTAAGAAAATAACAATAGTACATAACTAGTACTAACCTTTTTTTAAAACCAGCTAATGAACTCCCTATCAGAATGTTTTTGAGAGGTATCACCTGGAATTTGTGAAAACTCTCTACAAAAAATTAAGAATAACATGTCATTTTAATTGAAGTGATGGATAAAATATAATCAAATTATTATGTCGAGTCAATACTTACTCGAGAAATGGTTGAATTTCATCACAGTTCTTCAAAATATAAATATGTGCTTGCTCTAATTCATCTGGATTAAGTTTGTCTATTTTTCCAGCTCTTAAATCTTTTCCAGGTTGACAAAAAACTGTTAAACCTCCATCAGATTCAATAATACCACCATCATAATTCCGCTCAAGGCGATTAAATTTTGTTTCCATTGTATGCAAATACCTTGAACATAAAGTTAAACATTCAGTTGCCAAATATCTCTCCGGGATAGAACCTTCTAGGCAAGCCCTATTACCAACTAAAGATTTCAAAAAGTATAGCCATCTCTCCACTGGATACATCCATCTATATTGAATAGGTCCAGCAATCATAGCCTCATTAGCTAAATGGATCGGCAAGTGCACCATCACATCAAAAAATGAAGGAGGGAATACCTTTTCTAACTTGCATAGAGTTATAGGAATTTGAGCTGCTATTTGTTCTAACTCTTCCATTCTTAAACATTTTGCTCCAAGCAAGTTGAAAAATAAAGACAACTCAATAAGAGGTTCACATACAGATTTGCAAAGCATACCACGTATAGCAAGTGAAAGTAAATGTTGTAGAAGAACATGACAATCATGACTTTTTAGGTCTGAAATTTTGCGATCTTTAGTGGTGACACACTAAGATATATTTGATGAATATCCATCTGGAACCTTTAAGTTCTTTAGGAATCTGAAAAATATGTTCTTCTCTTCAGGAGATAACGTATAACATGCTGTCGGTAGCTCATATTTATCCCCATTTTTAATTGGATGCAATTCTTTCCTTATGTTCATTGCTTGCAATCCAATCGAGCTTTTATGGTATCTTTAGTTTTTCCTTTGACATTTAAGATTGTCCCCAAAATATTGTCACATACATTTTTCTCGATATGCATCACATCTAAATTATATCGCAACAATAGAGTTTTCCAATAGGGAAGATCAAAGAAAATACTCTTCTTATTCCAATTATCACCCCTACTCTCATGTGATATTTTAGGCTTCTTCTTTGGATCCTTTGTTAGTGGTAAACCATCTAAGTCAGCCACTTGATCAAGTATATCCTCACCCGATAAAACTTTGGGTGGTAGTCTTCGCTTCTTAGTGCCATCAAATGACTGTTTATCATTTCTCCATTTGTGATTAAGAGGAAGAAAGCGTCTATGACCCATATAACACTGCTTTATACCATTTTCTAACCTGATTGAGGATGTTTCTTTGTTGCAACATGGGCAAGCTAATTTTCCTTTTGTATTCCATCCAGATAAATTTGCATAGGCCGGAAAATCATTAATGGTCCATAATAGAGCTGCATGCAATATAAATTTTTGTTTGGTTGATGCATCAAAGGTCTCCACTCCAGTTTCCCATAATTCCTTTAATTCATCCATCAAAGGCTGAAGATAAACATCAATTGCATCTCCCGGACTTTCAGGACCAGGAATAAGCATCGACAAAATAAAATTCTCTTGCTTCATACATAGCTAAGGTGGTAAATTATAAGGAATAAGTACAACAGGCCAAATGTTGTACGGGGTTCTAGAACTTCCAAATAGTTGAAAACCATCACTAGCAAGTCCAAGTCGAACATTACGAGGTTCAGCAGCGAAAGACTGGTGAAGTTCATCAAACTTTTTCCATGCCATTGAGTCAGCTGGGTGCCTCATCATTCCATTGTCAACTCTTTTTTCTTGATGCCATGTCATTAAAGATGATATCTTTGAGGACATAAACAATCTTTGGAGTCTTGGCTTTAAGGGAAAATAACGTAAAATCTTGTGCGCTATCTTTTTCCCACTCTTAAATTTAGTTTCTCCGCTATGTTTATCCTCTTTCCATCTAGATGCTCCACAAACTTTGCAAGATTCAAGAAACTTGTCATCCTTCCAATATAACATGCAATTATTCTTACACGCATCAATCTTTTTGTAAGAAAGTCCAAGATCCCGAATTATCTTCTTTGCCTCATAATATGAATCTGGCAAGTTTGATTCAGTGGGCAATAGATCTTCTTTCAACATCTTCAAGAACATTGTAAATGACTCATGACTCCAACACCCAATACTTTTGATATGAAGCAATTTAACCATAGTAGAAAGTTTAGAAACTTTTGAATTTTGGTACAATGGTTGCTCAAAATCCTTTAAAAGCCTATAGAATTTTTTTGCTTCAAGATTTTGTTCCTCCTCAAGAAAATCATTACCATCAATGTTCGTATTGTCTGCATCAAAATTAGGGTATAAATCTCTTAGAATCCCATGTATTTCATCCTCACCATAAGCTTCTTCAATGTCATCATCTTCTACATCTTCTGAATTTGATTGTGGCTCACCTAACTTTTTCCCGTGATGATACCAAAAAGTATAATTTTGAATTATTTCATGTACTATTAAATGTGACTTAACCATCTCACGTGTTCCCGAAGATGTATTACAACATTTGATACATGGACAACGTATTACACGCGCTTCTCTTAATCTTGTAAAAGCAAAATCCAAAAAATTGTTCACCCCAAGCTTGTAAGCATTATTAAGTCGGTCATGGATAAGTTCCATCCACTTCTTATTAGGTGCCATAATCTGTTGCATGTGTAATATATATGTATATATGATTAAAATAATGTATTAGCCAGAAGTAAACATTTATTCAACAAGCCAAAAAATAAGCAAAACACTTCAACTTGTATATTTATCATGAATTGACAAGTTTTACGCTCGCTATTTATCTCTTCTATGGTTCTAGACAATTGCTTCTCAAAGAACAATCGTTTATCAGTGACTGATCAAAACAAAACAAAAAGTGACTCCATTTTCTTATCATGAATTTCTGAGTTTGGCAACCTAAATAGGCATGTTCTTTGGAGATTATCTTTTTTCAGCTTTATCAAATGTTGGTATTCGCACGTTCAGGGTTGACGAACTTGAGATAGATGAAAAGGGATGCAAAGAATTGCAGAAAACAATTCAAGAATCAAGAATTCTCATTGTTGTCTTCACTAAAGAGTATACCTTTTCAGAGAGGTGCCTTGATGAACTTTTGTTTATACTTGAGAGTAAGAGAGCTTTTCGACGTTTTGTTCTACCTGTGTTTTATGATGTGGAACCCTCAGAAGTCAGGAAACAAAAAGGGAGTTTTGAACAAGATTCTTTAATATATAAAGAGAGATGTAAATCCGGGACCGAAGAAAGGAGACTGGAATTGTTGCATAAGGTGAAGGAAAGAAGGCTGCTCTAACAGAAGTTGCTAATTTGGGAGGAATGGTCTTATAGAATAAATCTGATGGGTAAACTTTTACTAGCTTGATGTTTATAGGTAGTTTTATATTAGTGGATTTTAAATTGTTCCATTGCAGAGTATGTGCTTTATTCATGACTTTAGATGGTATTAAATACAATTCAATTTTTAGGTGTGAGTCAAAGTTTATTCAAGAGATTGTGAAGGTGGTTGCAGGAAAACTAAATCGCGCAGTTTTAAGTGTTGCTCTCCATCCAGTTGGAATAGATTCTCGAGTTAGAGATATTCAGTCTCTGATTGAAAGATGGATCAACTAGTATTGATATTATGGCTATATATGGGATGGGAGGTATAGGTAAAACTAAACTAGCTAAGACAACTTACAATATGAACTTTGACAAATTTGATGGCGGCAGCTTTCTTGCTGATGTAAATAAAACTTCAGAAAGACATGATGGTCTTGTAAGTATACAAAGAAAGCTTGTTTCAAGTGTTTTGGGGAAGAATGTTGAGAAGATATACAGTGTCGATGAAGGAGTCAACAAGATTCAAGAGGCCACTCGATGCAGAAGAATTCTTCTTGTTCTCGATGATGTAGACGATAGAGATCAGTTAAATATTGTACTTGGGATGCGAAAATGGTTTTATCTGGGTAGTAAACTTATCATTACAACCAGAAATCGGCACCTATTTGATGCTAGTGAGGTCTGCAGATGTAAGATGTATAAGGTCACGCCATTGAATGCCCAAGAATCAATTCGACTCTTCAGTTGGTATGCTTTTGGAAAAGAACAACTTTCAGAAGATCACAAGAACCTTTCAGAAAATGTGATACTTCATTGTAAATGGATTCCTTTGGCTCTCAAAGTTTTAGGTTCTTCTCGTTGTGACAGAAGTATAGAGGTGTGGGAATGTGCATTAAGGAAACTAAAGGCAATCCTTGACAATAAGATCCTAGAAAAACTCAAAATCAGCTATGATTTACTACCAGATGATGATGTACAGAATCTGTACCTCGATATTGTTAGTTTCTTTGTTGGAAAAGATAAACATTGTGCAGTTACAATACTTGATGGATGTGGTTTTTCTCAGTAGTAGGACTTGAGATTCTTTCAGATAGATATCTGATCGAAATGGACAAGGATAAGCTGAAAGTGGATTCATTGATTCAAGATATGGGGAGAGAGCAAAGTCAGACAAAGAAGAGACTAAAGTAGGTTATTCACCTAAACCAAATTAAAACATGTGACTTCCCCCTCAATCTCCTGGTTAAAAGTACTGCTCAGAGCTTTTAATTAATCACCACAGGTTGGTGATGATTTATCATGGAAACAACTTAGTGAATTTTATACTGTGACTTTCTGCAGTACTTCAACAATATTGATATGTTTATAATTCATAGATTATGATAACATGAAAGTTCTTTTGAGCCAATTCATATAACGAGAGGTCTACTGCATAAACGAATTAAAATATTCTAACTTTAGTTGACTGAATAATGTGACTTTAAATTCACATAGAACATGCATAAAGCATCTTACCAAAACAGGTTAGTGGCATCTCTGACTTAGCAGATCTTAATTATTGTATAGTTATTTTCTAGATTTCCTTAGCAAAGACGATCATCTCTTTCGAGATGAAGAAGTTGTAAAGAACAAAACTAAACTAATCCCACTCGTCAACTACATTAACCAATTAAAACACTGGTGGAACAAGAAAGAAGAGAAAGATTATGGACTTGAAGAACTAAGGAACACCACATCTAAACACATATTGTTACAAATTAAGAGGCAAATTTAATTCCTACAAGCATGTTTGATTCTTAAATCTTAATCTTCAAGCAAGCAAACAAATAGCAGAGGTACTACAAGAAGCCTCGCCATAAAGGGCGTCAATGTAACTATAAATCTGGAAAATATACATATAATTCTAAGAAGAAATCTAATATTTGAAGAGCAGAGAGATAAAAAAAAGACACGATTTCACAATAGTTATTACTACAAGTTTAGCGACACAGATTCACCATTCTAACTTGACGGACAAAAATAGGGGGAGTATAGATAGAGTGACGGAGAGAGAACAGAGGGAGGAGATCGGAAAAGAAGCCAACAAAAAGAGACGAAAAAGCAGAAGGAAAAATCATCCAAATATCATCCAAGCTCATCGTTACCCTCTCTAAAAAATCCCAACACCTAAGTTCATCTTTTCTCTTCCTATCGATTAAACTCATCCCAAACCCAGTTGTTTTTCTGGACAAAATCAGCTCAACATTAGCTCCAAAATAATCCCAAAACAACCCCAAAATGCAATAGTAAAATGAAAACTAAAATCCAGAAAAACTAGCTCCAAAATGCCACCAACATTTCAGCCGAAAACTCCATGAAAACAAGTTGAAAATCAGTCCAAAACATAAAACAACAACATTAAAGGGTAGTTATAATTTGACTTTACCTCGACGAGAAGGAGAACGGAATCCTACTAGCGTTGACACAGATTCACCAGAGAAGACAGATTATAAGCTACGTACACAAGCCCAAATTTTTTTGTGATTATCTATTGAGTTCTGCTCTGCTCTGTATATATAATGTTAATTTCAGAACTTCTTCGCCGATCGAGTAGTGACCAGTTGCAGCGAGAGCCCTATTTGTTCGTGATTCTTTGCCTCTTCTTTGCTGAAGTTGTTGTGCGTGTTTTGGGATAGCATTTTAGGCGAGAGATTGTAGGGTTTTTTTGATAATTTGGGGGTAATGTGCGGATAGTTGGTTGAGAAAATAAAGGAGGGAAAAATTAGCGCTTGTTTTTCATTTTTATTAAGATTTGACGACGAGACTGACACAATTTGAAGGACCACAAATTATTCCCTCGTAAAAATTACAATAAAAAATAACTTTAACGACGAAAATAAATATTGGCCGCTATAAGTACACATATAACGACTGGATTAATTTCCTTTCGTGAAGAAATGGTCGTTAAAGATCTCTTTTCTTGTAGTGTTTCCTTCTCTTTTTCTCTTATCTTTTTTTCTTTTCCTTTACTTAGCTTGTGCGTTCACGTTTCTGAATTTTGTTACTAATTCCAAAAGAGGGGTATAAAAGGAAATAAATAGAGCTCAAAGGGGTAACAAAGGATAATGTGTTTAGATAGCAAAACAAAATGCCTTCGTCATTCCAATCTTCAAAACATGCCAAGTATAAACAAATACAATTTAAACTAAAGAAATCATGCATAATATCTTTTGACTGCATCAGAATTGATAGCCATATCTACACATTTGCCTTCTATATCTGTTAAATATAAAGCACCATTGGACAACACTCTCGTTACGATGAACGACCCTTGCCAATTTGGGGCGAACTTGCCTTTTGCTTCAGTCTGATGTGGAAGGATACGTTTCAATACTTGCTGACCCGCTTCAAATTTCTGGGGATGCACCTTCTTGTTGTATGCTCTTGCCATTCTCCTTTGATACAACTGGCCATGACACACTGCTGCCAATCTTTTCTCAAAAATCAAACTTAATTTCTCTAAACGGGCCTTGACCCACTCATCATCATCAATCTCGGCTTCAGCAACAATCCGGAGAGATAGGATTTCAACTTCCGCAGGTATCACTGCTTTTGTGCCATATACCAACAAATAAGGAGTTGCACCTACTGAAGTGCGAATAGTAGTGCGATAACCCAACAACGCAAAGGGCAATTTCTTATGCCATTGCCTGGAACCTTCTACCATTTTCCGAAGTATCTTCTTTATGTTCTTGTTGGTTTCCTCGACTGCTCCATTCGCCTTGGGGCGATATAGGGTGGAATTTGCGATGCGTAATCTTAAACTATTGACACGTCTCTTTTATCAAATGACTGTTGAGATTAGCACCATTATCTGTGATGATCACCTTTGGGATCCCGAACCGACAAATGATATTTGAGTGAACAAAATTGACCACTGCTTTCTTGGTCACAGACTTGAAAGTTTAGCTTCAACCCACTTGGTGAAATAATCAATGGCCACCAGAATGAACCTGTGCCCATTGGACGCTGCTGGCTCAATTGGTCCAATGATATCCATGCCCCAAGCGACAAAGGGCCATGATGCAGACATTGTGTGCAATTCAGATGGCAGAGAATGAATCAAATCTCCATGCACTTGACATTGATGACACTTGCGTACAAAACTGATACAATCTCGCTCTATGGTGAGCCAATAATAACCCGCTCGAAAAATTTTCTTTGCCAGAACATACCCACTCATATGCGGTCCACAAACTCCAGAATGTACTTCAGTCATAATGGTCGTGGCCTGTCTAGCATCTATGCATCGTAATAATCCAAGATCTGGAGTTCTTTTGTACAGAACTCCTCCACTGAAGAAAAATCCACTTGCCAAACGACGAATTGTTCTCTTTTTATCACCTGTGGCTTGTGCTGGATACACCCCATCCTGATATACTCCCTGATATCATGAAACCATGGTTCACTATCAAGTTCTTCTTCGACCATATTACAGTAGACATGCTGATCACGGACTTGAATATGTAGAGGGTCGACATAAGCTTTGTCCGGATGGTGCAACATTGATGCCAAAGTAGCCGAAGCATCGACAACCTCATTATGGATCCTTGGAATATGCCTGAACTCTACTGACCGAAACCGTTGACAAAGATCATGCAAACATTGTCGATACGGTATGAGCTTTAAATCCCGTGTTTCCCATTCTCCTTGAATCTGGTGCACTAGAAGGTCCAAGTCTCCCAAGACTAAGACTTCCTGGACACCCATGTCTACAGCTAACCTCAAACCCAAAATGCATGCCTCGTACTCATCCATGTTGTTGGTACAATAGAAACGAAGCTGAGCCGTAACAGGGTAGTGATGTCCTATTTCAGAAATAAGTACAGCTCCTATCCCAACGCCCTTCATCTTAGCAGCCCCATCAAATAAAAGTTTCCAACCTGGCTTTTTAACCTATTCCAACTCGTCAATGTGCATCACCTCTTCATCAGGGAAGTAAGTCTTCAAAGGTTCATATTCTTCATCCACCTGGTTCTCGGCCAATGCTTGGGCTTTCATCGCAGTCCGAGTCACATAGATGATGTCAAATTCTGTGAGCAAGATCTGCCACTTTGCGAGCCTCCCTATGGGCATAGGCTTCTGAAAGATATAATTTAATGGATCCAAATGAGAAATGAGGTAAGTAGTGTAAGATGACAGATAATGCTTCAACTTCTGTGTTACCCAAGTTAGGGCGGAACATGTCCTTTCAAGGTGAGTGTACTTAACCTTATAAGATGTGAACTTCTTGCTGAGATAATAGATGGCTTGCTCCTTCCTGCCGGTGATGTCATGCTGACCCAACACACAACCAAATGAATTATCCAAGACTGTCAAGTAAAGAATCAAAGGTCTCCCTGGTTCCGGTGGGACTAACACAGGTGGGTTTGACAAGTACCCCTTTATCTTATCGAATGCTTCCTGACACTCATCAGTCCACTTGACCGCAGCATCCTTTTTCAGCAACTTAAAGATAGGCTCACAAGTTGTCGTGAGTTGAGCAATAAACCTGCTGATGTAGTTTAGCCTCCCTAATAGACTCATCACCTCAGTCTTGTTTCTTGGAGGTGGCAATTCTTGGATAGCTTTGATCTTTGACGAGTCCAATTCAATACCTCAATGGCTGACTATGAATCCCAGCAGTTTTCCAGATGGAACACCAAATGCGCACTTGGCGGGGTTAAGCTTAAGATTGTACCTGCGAAGCCTCTGAAAAAATTTCCTCAAATCTCTGATGTGGTCAGACTGCTTCCTGGACTTTATGATCACATCATCTACTAGACCTCGATCTCCTTGTGTATCATGTCATGCAATATAGTCATCATTGTCGTCATGTAAGTTGCCCCAACATTTTTCAAACCACAAGGCATGACCCGGTAGCAATACGTCCCCCATGGCGTGATGAATGCTGTCTTTTTCGCATCTTCCTCATCCACTAAGATCTGATGATAGCTCGCATAGCAATCCACAAAAGACCCAATCTCATGCTTGGCACAATTACCAATCAGAATGTGGATATTTGGAAGTGGGAAATTGTCTTTTGGACTAGCCTTGTTGAGATCATGGTAATCAACACACACTCTGGTCTTGCCATCCTTCTTTGGCACAGGCACAACATTGACTAACCAAGTGGGGTACTGCATGACTCAAATGACCTTTGCATCAAATTACTTTGTGACCTCTTCTTTAATCTTCACACTCATGTCGATTTTGAACTTTCTCAACTTCTGCTTGATGGGAGGAAATGCCGGGTTAGTGGGCAATTTGTGAACCACCAAGTCAGTGCTTAGACCCGACATGTCGTCATATGACCATGCGAAAATATCTTTGTATTCAAACAATGCTTTAACTATCTCTTCCCTGATTTGCGGTTCAAGATGGACACTTATCTTAGTTTCCCTGACATTATCTGGGTCCCCTAAATTGATTGCTTCTGTATCATTTAGGTTAGGCTTGGGGTTTTCCTCAAAATGACTTAGTTCTTTACTAATCTCTTCAAAGGCCTCATCCTCATCATATTCTGATTTATCATCACACTCTATTTCATGAATTATTATTTCAGAATTAGATTGACTTTTAATACTGGGCCGAAGATTCCTCATGCATGTCATATCATTGAAACCAACATAAAAAGAACTATACAGAGAAGAAAAGAAAAACAAAAATAAAACTATCAGGAATGATGAAAAAGGGAAATTGCATTTCATTGAAATTAAAAGATAGCAGGGTTTATACATCTAAATGGACGGAACATAGAATCTGAATTACAACCCTGGAACAATCCAGATAAACTGAAAGAAAATCAAAGCAAACTACCAAAACTCCTTCCGGGTAGGGAGAGGAGTAGCCTTCCAATTGTTAAGCTTTGCATTCGGCCTAACAAACTGCACATCTGCTTTGCTAGAACCTTCTCCAACTTCCACCACGTTCACATCGTCGAACAACCTCTCGAACCTTTCAATTAACTCTTCATCAACGTCAAACACAGAACTGGGAACTGCTGTCACTGTGCGTTTTCTGGCGTCGGGCTTGACAAATGACCTGGAGAGACATGGGATAGGCTTTGGAAGTGCCCACACCCTCTGTTTCAACTTTCTAGCCCTTTTCACGTCTGTAGTTGTGGGTTTGAATCCCAGACCAAATGTACTCAAGTTTTTAGGGAGAGACACCAGCTGTATGATACCTTGTAGAGATGCACCCAAACTCTTACCAGGTACGAAGCCATTTTTCAGCATTTCAAAGACCACCATGACTGATGCGACAGTTATCTTTGGAATTGGAACGCATTTCCCTTCTGGAATTTTCTCGACCGACACTGTTTCAAAAACCTGATAGACCCAAGGCCCTTTGTCATCTTCAACCTCAATGAATGGGACAACGACATCACTGTGAGCGCACAAATTATCCTCGCTATGCACGACGATCTCTTGTCTATCCCATTCGAACTTGACCATCTGGTGCAGAGTGGACGGGACTGCTTTGGCGGCATGAATCCAAGGTCGACCTAACAACAGATTGTAGGAGACGGCTACGTCCATCACCTGGAACTCCATGGTGAATTCAACCGGTCTTATTGTCAACTTAATCACTATATCACCAACTGAATCTTTCCCTCCACTGTCAAATCCCCAAATGCAGATACTGTTCTTGTGAATGCTCTTATCATCAACTTTCAACTTGTTTAGAGTAGAGAGAGGGAAAATGTTTGCACTGTAACCATTGTCAACCAATACCCTGG